ATTTTATTTATAATAATAATAATAATAATTTCCTAGTATGATTTTGCAAGTTGAAATTTTTGAAACGTTCTTGGTGCATATTGGAATTGATGAGAATATTTATTATATGTTAATATGTGTGTGTTTTCTGTGGTCATTATTCATTTCAAAGTGTGTGTACTTTGAATAGTATGTCTCATTCTATACACACTCTTATATTAGCAAATATCGGAATCGTCTGCATAAGTGATCAAATTTCTCATGGGTGATGTTGAGTTTCTTAACCACCTACTATCTTGTTTCATCTCTACGGCTTTCCCTTTTTTATTATTATTTTAGACAGGGCATGAGGAAAAGGCTACCTCAGAGTCACCAAACAGGCTTTCCTTATTCTAGCCATGCTTCTTTGGTTCAGTTTCCATACTCTTGAGTGTGAAAGCTGCCAGTGAGTGTATTGAGGAGGAGCCTTTGTATTTACTCAATAAATACCCATTGATTCCTAATGGTTTGACTTTCCTAAGTTGTGTTTAGATCCTCTTGCTGGAAATCCAACCATCAGATCACTACTAGGATTTGAATCTAATGTTTGTCCAACTTCAAGAGCCACACACACTCTTTTATCATGGGATCTATACTTTTCACATATTGCATCACATTCTTTCAAGTAATTATGTTTCTTAGATATTCTTGTGTGTTTTAAGGTACAAATATGAAATTCCTTACTTACTCCATCATATTATTTTTTGTCTTTTATTTTTTGTTCGTTGTTTTCGGTGCTTGTGATTGCTTTTAGTAAAGGAGAGTTTGGTTAATCGTTGTAGAGATTTTTTTGGGCATGTCTTACATTGATTGGTTTTGCAAGGGAGATTGGTATTAGTTAGTTTGTATGTTGCTATGCACTGCTTATTTATTGCTTATTTGTCACATGCTATTGATTATTATATCACCATGTCCTTGCTTGTCTGGTTTATACTTTTGCTTTCGTTAATTGAGCTTCCTTTGACAGTTCATGACAAAAAGGGGGAGAATTTTGAGTGTGTCTGCATGTTTCTTAAAATTTTCATCTTTTCATGTTGCATGCGGCATGTTCTTAAAATCTCAAATTTTCATCTATTCATATGTCCATATATTCATGCTTCAAGATAATCTTGCCATATGTCTATTGTTTTCATATACTCTTGTAGCATTAATAGCTGTCTTGCAGATCATGACCTTGAGAAAGAAGTTTTTTTTTGTTCGTTATAATGGGTTGGGGTGTTTAGAATTTTTTTTGTTAGGTGTGTTTTGTCACAGAGTTGCCAAAGAGGGAGAATGCTAGGTTTTTGTAATTGGCAATCCTGTTTGAAAAAACTCATTTCAGTTGTAATTTTATTCGCTCTTTTATTACAGTGAAACTATGAGTGTTTAGATGCGAATCCAAATCGAATTGTACTTATGTAGAGAAGTTTGTGATTCTGATTCTTTCATGTTTGCCACTTCGTTGATTATGTACGGGGATCGAGCTGTATATAGAAGAAAGCTTTACCACTTGAGCGATGAAAGTTGCGCTCAAGCGGTCAGCCTATATATTTTGCGCCGTCTTTGCTCACACCGCTCGAGCAGTGAAATGTGCGCTCGAGCGGTCTTCGTGATTCAGTTTACTATAAAGAAGACAATTTGCTGTTTCTACGGTTTGGACTGTCCAAATTTTCAGAAAGGAACAAGAAATAAAGTGTTTTGTATTTGAGAGTACTTTATGAGTGTTTCCTTGATGATTTAAGAGTGATAAATAGATCCTTGAATTTCATATTAACATCATCAATGGTTTGTTTGTTTTTGTTTATTCACAAAAGAGAGTGTTGTTCTTCGGTGGATTCCGAAGAATTTGGGTTTGAAACTTTGGTGGATTCTAGAGTGGCTCATCGTCGTGGATTCGATATCGGCGTTATAAATTCAACGTTGGGCAAGATAATTTCGAAGTGAAGATGGTGGTAGAATAGGCACATTGGGTTCGGTTCAATTTGGGCGTGGATTCATTAAGTAATTGAGAGTACACTTGTTTAATTCTTTTTATCTTCTTAGTAGATTGTTTTGTGATTTTGGCCTATGATTTTTTTATAACAATTAGAGGCGCTCCAATTGTAATTTCTCCACATTGAATCATTGTGTTGGTTTGTTTTTGATTGTTTGATTGGGATTGTCATTCGTTATTTAAAATTCAAATATAATCACAAATTAATATCTTGGCGTTTTTATAATTTTCAAATTGTTTTTAAATTTTTCACTAAGTTCTTTTTATTACTTAGTGAAAATTATGCAAATAATCCATATAGTTTACACGATGTGTTAATTTGGTCCTTATAGTTTCAATTTGTTCGATTTTGCCCTTTAATTTAACGGATTGTGTCATTTTAGTCCAATAAATAACGGTTGTTAAGTTAATTTAACGGAAAGTCAAACAATATATCAATTTGGACCCTGTATTTTTCACAATGTGTCAATTTAATCCTTGTCAAAATTGAGAAAATTGAAATTACAGGGACCAAATTGACACATCGTGTAAAGTACAGGGACCAAATTGATACATTGTTTGACCTTTTGTTAAATTAACTTACAACCGTTATTTATTGGACTAAAATGACACAATCCGTTAAATTAAGGGTCAAAATCGAGCAAATTGAAACTACAGAGATCAAATTGACACATCGTGTAAACTACATGGACTATTTGCATAATTTACCGTATTACTTAATTAATGTATCATTTTGTGTTATTATTATTTATAGTGAAATGTTATTAATTAAATCATCTGATTCTACTTTTTCAGTATATCTAATAGCCAAATAATTTTATTAGTAAGATTGAAAAATCAGATTCTAATGTTAATTTAAACAAACAACAAAATAAAGTACTTTTCAAAGACAAAATACAAATTTAAGATTTTGTTGAAATAAGTTCTTAATTGAGTAAGGTCTTTTATTAATTTATAATACTTATGAACTTATGTTTTATTTTTGTAATCTTTTCAAGAACTAAATAAGTTTAAATTAAATACTTTAGAGACTTAATGGATTTAATCGATAGTTTAAATACTATAAGAACTTACTAGATTCAATCGATAGTTCAGACACTATTTAGATAATTTGGCAATAATTTAAGAATATAAAGTGTAATATATCCAAAAGTTTATGACTTTGCATTTTAATATTTATAAAATTTATCATTAATTTAAAAATAATTTTTAAAATGTAATTTCTCCTCATTATAAAATGCCACCACCATTTGCGAAGTCGATTAAAAGCTCACTTTTAACTTTTTTTTTAAAAAAAATACAAAAAAAAAAATAGAGTTAATGTGATCCAAAAAACTCAAAAAAGCCAATATGCTTGTTTTTCACAAAAATTAAAAAAAAAAAAATTGGTTAGGAAAAATGCGAAGCAAATGTGTGTCAAGAATGAGAGATAGAGAAGGTGAGAGCAGAGCTTCTTTCTCTAGGATTCGGCAATTCCCCTGCAATACTCCGACAACTCTCTTTACATTTCTAAAGTGTAGATCTACATTTGTAGATCTGTAATTTTAGAGTATAAATATAAACTTTTTATATTTGAAATAGGAGTTTGAGAGTTTTTCCCTCCGTTTTCAGTGTAAATTTTTGAATTTTCTACCCCCACAATGATTTCCTCCTCTTAAACCTTCTTCCATACCATTGTGGGTATACCTCTTTTTCAACTCTAGCTTCTGGTTGTGTTCGAAATACGGTAGCAGTGGTAGCAGAATTGGGCAGCGGCAATGGGGGTGACGTAGACGGGAACCGCAAATTTTCAACCAAATTTTGTTTAGTTTAATACAAATCTTACTTTTCAGACCACATTTATAAGATCGGTGATTTTTCTTGTACCGTAGTTGGTCTTTTTGTTTATAAGATCGGTGATTTTTCTTGTACCGTAGTTGGTCTTTTTGGTAGATTTGTTATTTTTTTTCCTTTTGTTGTATGGTTTGTATGACCTTTTGAGATCCTATTTTGTATGTTATTAATTTTAATATAAATGTTTTCCATGTTCTCAAAAAAAAAAAAAATAGTGTCCAAGCCTGTAAACTTAGGCTCCTTTTGGTAATAATTTTTTTAATCCGACTTGTTGATTAATTTAACCTAACTATATCCGTTTGAGAAGAATTTTTGATTTTTGATTTTATAATTTAGATGTTATAGTTGTGTAGAGAAAAATTGCCAAACGGGAGCTTATTCATTTAGGAGATTACGGATTCAATTTCTTACAGTACAAAATTTAAGAAAATAAAATAAAAAATGGCGCGCCCTACCGTCCTTTTGAAGCATGCCATAAATCATGCCCCATCAGCTCCATAACATATAGTAATTAATTACCCAACTTCAAAAATCAGATTATTATGGACATGACTTGAAGAGATTAGACTTAAATTCTCATCATTGTGCATTAATATGTACTTGTATAAAAACCCATTTAAAAATGAACATTGTTCCCCATAGAAAAGGAAAAGGGTAAGAACTAAGAAAAAGCTTTGGTTTGTGCTTCACCACCCCATGTAGTCATCTTCCCTACCATGGCATGGGGCCACACCCGCCCATTACTAGACCTCTCCCAAGCTCTTTCGTGCCGCGGCATCACAGTAACCATCATCACCATCCCATCAAATGTTCCGTATATCGCTTGCAAAGTCTCAAAACATCCACGAATCTCTCTCCACGTGTTACCATTTCCACAAGTCCCCAAATTGCCACCGGGGTGCGAGAACACGGCTCACCTTCCTTCAATGGATCTTTTTCTAACGTTCCTAAGAGCCACCAAAATGCTGAAGGAGCCCTTCGAGGGTGTCCTCAGAGAGATGTCTATAGCTGGATGCCTTCCTATTTGCGTGATATCGGACTTCTTCCTTGAGTGGATGCTCATTTCATGTCATTCATTTGGCATTCCTCGGCTTGTTTCTTCCTCCAGTGGATGCTCGATTCATGTTGTTCATTTGGCATTCCTCGGCTTGTTAGCCATGGAATGGGCATGTTACCTATGGCTATCGGTAAAGCCACTAGTTTGCATAGCCCATGCATCAGGGCTATGTTGGATTCTGATCCGATAAATTTGAGCCAAGTAAAAGTTCTGTTCAGCTTGAAGCGAGCGGACTTACCAAACTCGCTCCAAAAGGGCAATGCCGACGCAGATAGCTGGGGATTCATAGTCAATAGCTTTGAAGAGCTTGAAGGTGAGTATGTAGCCACTCTTGAATCATTCTTTAAGAAGAAGTCATATGCATGGTGTGTGGGCCAACTTCTTCTCGTCAACCAGATTGAACAAGAAGCAACCAGTGACGATCAATTGTGTTGGTACATCAAATGGCTTAACAAGCAATTGCGTCGGAGTGGGGTGATATGCATATCATTCGGTACACAAGCACACGTGTCGAACACCCAAATGGATGAGATTGCAATGGGGCTGGAGATGGCCAGCCATCCATTTATTTGGGTTGTACCATCGACAAAATGGACCCCACCAGACGGATGGGAGGAAAGGGTGAAAGAGAGAGGATTGATTGCAAAGGATTGGGTGGAGCAGAGGAGTATATTAGCACACCCCTCAATGGGTGGGTTTTTGAGCCGCTGTGGTTGGAACTCAGTGTTAGAGAGCTTGTTGAATGGGATCCCAATGTTGGGTTGGCCTATGGGGGCCAAACAAGGGTTGAATGCCAAGTATGTAGCGGACGGATTGGGAGCAGGGATATTGGTCGACCCGCAACCACAAGGGAGACGGAGGGTTGGGACAGAGGGAATCAACACCATTGAGCATGATGTGATTTGTCACAAGGTTAAGGAGTTGATGAGTAGAGAAAGGGAGGAAAGCCCGAGAGAGGGCACAAGAATTGGGGATTATGGCAAGGCAAGCTATGGAGAAAGGTGGATCATCCCACAAGAAGCTGGACAAATTGATCGAAGCGCCTAACCCATATAAAGAACGATGTGTCATCTTTAATTTCTATTTTCTAGAGTGTGTGTGTGTGTAATCATAGACAGTTATGAAAACAAAATGGATCTCCAGATAAGCTATTGATCATTTGCTTCAGGTAGTGATTCTGTTATTTATTTTTCAATGATAATAATTTCATCCCCAATGCTGCCCAGTTTCTTAAGTTATTGACAACACACAATCACTTGAATTTTGTACAGATTAATTTGATTATACATACATAAGAAAATCATACCAGTATGAGTTTTATGGCAGGAACACAAACATCAGACCAGTTCTCTGACACGTCACTCTCCAACTTGAGGCATTGGTTTTATTGATCATCCTGAAAAACAACATACCAGTTGTCAATGATTTAACGAGCTTTAATAAAAATATGAGTAAACCCCTGAGGTTTGCTTAAAATACAATTTGCCTCATGTGGTTTAAAAAATTACAAATATCCAATTGTTAAAATTATTTATTTAACGAAACCAAACTAAACCTTAAGTCCCATCAATTTTTTATTTAACAGAATTAACTAACAAAAATAAAATTCATAATTGTCCTCCTATACAATAATAAAATTGCATAAATTATTAATTAAAATATATTTCTAATATCATTAAAAACTGATAATTGACTTGATGATTTATTAATAAAAATGACAATTTGTTATGAAATTAAAAATCTCAAGAGGTGGAATGTAATTTCCAAGATCACAGAGGACAATTTGTATTTTAATTAAATCTCAAGGGATGTATTTGTAATTTACCCATAAAAGGTATACCATCTGATTTAATAATCCCCCCCCATGTGTTTAAGATTAGTTTATTTGACTTTGGAAGCTAAAAAAAAAAAAGCTTTGGTCAAATTAGCGACCAAAACACCAACAGTACAAAGCAACCGATATGAGCAGCTGGATGAATTATTTAGCAACTAATATTTCCCTGTTTTCCATAAGGATTTATGTTAATAAAATGATATGAGCAGCTGGATGAATTATTTAGCAACTAATATTTCCCTGTTTTCCATAAGGATTTATGTTAATAAAATGGTAAAAATATCAATTAGGCTGGTTTCACGGATCCTTGCACAAATTTTAGCAATCAAATCCAAATAAACTGAATTTTTAGTTCACCTTAAGCCCACTAAACTTATTTGAATGAAGGCTGCTCCAAATTATGTCCTGTCACCAGAATAAACTGTTGATTCATTTTTCTTAAATACCATGACATTTTCCTTGAGTCAACATTTTTAAGAACCATTTGCAGCCTAAGGTGAAATGAGAATCGAGCGGTGGCCTAAATTTTTCTCAAGCACATAAATAACCATATATTGTTCTTCAAGAAATCTCCAATCTGAACTTCTAGCATGAATTTGGTAGGTACCATTTTCGTCTCTTCATCTTACAAATTTCCCTTAACATCAGTGACAACCAGAGTAGGGCATGGCATTGCCATTGTATCTAAAAAATCCTTATCAACTTAACACCCCAAACTAGCATTAACCTTTTTCTGACACAGCCTAACATATTATGAATGCTGCTACTGCTCCATGCAGCCAATTGGAGTTTAACTGACTCTAGGTTCACTGTGGCGGTTTTTGGTTCATGGATTCGGGGAGGGATTTGTGAAGGGAAAGCAAAAGTGAAGAGAAAAGTGAATGAAATGCAGGCTAATTTTTTTTTCACTATTCCCTTCTCTTGTTCTTTCCCTCCGCAAATCTCGCCTCAAATCCATAATCCAAACAGTCTTTGAGTGCAAGCAAAGAGTTTGATGGAGCGGAAGTTATCATAAACTACCATACTCTCCCTAGCCAGAACCTAATCCAGCGGTGCAAGATTTTTTAACAAAATAATATTCGTTATTAAAAAAGGAATGGTATAATGAAATGTTAAGAGACGTTGTAACTACTATGCTACATCATCACTTTAATGTGTGCCTACAGAATCACACAACACACACATAGTCAAAACATTGTTTTCATCTAATAAGATTTAAGCGGTTGAAGATTATGGCATCAGCCATGCCAATCAAAGATATCATGGATGACACTTGATAATACTAATATCCAAAACCCTGAAAGGATAAGAATCCAGTAACAAGAAACAAAATGAGAAGGATACGGAATAGAATATAAAAATGGGGATCTGCAAGAAGTTTAAAAGTTAAGGTTTGAAGTAAGAACCAGAAATAAAGAAATGACAACAGCTATTCACAAAAACTTCAACTAAATACATATTCATGTTCTACAAACTAGTTAAAGAAGACCACAAACAAATATGCATTTGAAAATATATGATAACTATCTAAAAGACATGCAACAATACTAACCACTTCTTTCCTCTGGATTTGTCGCAACATTGTGTTCACCAACCAAGGATGAATTTCCGCTTTTGTTGTTATGGTTGCATGTCCTCTTAACCAAGAGCTTGGCAATCTGCAACTGGGTTTTTGCAACTATTTCAGTCCTCTTAAGGTCCATTTCTGCTCGCTTGATGTCTGCCTCTACCCTCAGGCGTTCCGAGTCCCTGTACATTTCCATCCGTGCCTGTTCGATTTTCAACATTGAATGAGCTAACACCCTAATACTCTCTGCCATGTCGTTGCCCGATCTCTTCCTTCGCTTAAAAGAATTTACCTTTAATGACCTGTCAGCCACTCTGGCTGCTTTGTTTCTGGGGGTACTAAATTCACTGTTATTAGGAACTGTATCAGACGCATCATCTTGATTGTCATCCTGAACATGATTCTGTCCACGTTCGACTATTGTATTGCAATTTTGAGCTTTCTTAACAACCTGAACGTGATTCTGGCCGCTTTCGTCTACTGTCTTGTAATTTTGAGCTTTCTCAACAATCTGAACATGGGTGGGGCCGTTATCGTCTACCCTCTTGGTATCAGTTTCCAAATCACCCACTAAATTTGGCAAAGCTTGCAAACCCTCTGTCTCTGTCACCCCATTTGCTACCACATCTCCAACCTTATGTTCCAAACAATGTGTCCCTTTCACCAATCCATCCATCCTAGCATAGAATTGCCAACCAGAATGGTTATTTACAGCTAACTCCATGCGATACCTTTTCTTCATCGCCTCAATTTTGTTCTTGCATTGGTTAGGTGTTTTTCCAGGCTTTGTCCCACAATTACGGGCTGAAACTTGCCCAGCTATCTCTTCCCAATCGCTCCCCTTCAACTTGGCTCGATTTCGGAGTGACCACTTTGTTTCATACACATCTAATAAACTCATAATCCCTCCTTCGCTCCACTCATCCCTTTTACTCTTATCCGGGGTTTTCACAACCGCCACAACCACCCCCTTGTTCTTTTCCCCACCTCCTTCCATTGCAATCAACAATACAACAAACTCGGACAGTCTAGAGTAAATTTCAGTGAGTGTTTGATCCTGAGTTCAAAAACCCCCCATTGATACAATAAATATGAAGCAATACCCACCAACCAAAACCCTAAAAACCCAAGAACAAATACCACCAAAGCATTACTTAGGCATGAATGAACACAAGCAAAGCACCATTATTTTATATGTGAGCAGACCCATAAACCAAAGATACTGAAACTGAATGGTTCTGTGAGAGAATTTTCCTATATGATTTTTTGAAGGTTGCAAAATAATATAAAAACTGGGTTTTTCTAGATTATTAGCGATTGAAACAGACAGAATTGATGGGTATATTGAAAGCTGAACAAGAAGAGAGAGCAAATTAAAGAGAACTGAGAATATAAGAAGCAATACCCACCAAACAAAACCCTAAAAACGCAAGAATAAATACCACCAAACCATTACTTAGGCATGAACAAACACAAGGAAAGTACCATTATTTTCTATGGGAGCAGAGACCCAGAAACCAAAAACTCTAAAATTGAATGGTTGTGTGAGAGTATTTTCCTCTATGATCACAAACCGGGTTTTTCTCGACTATTAGTGATCAAAACAGACAGAATTGAAAAATGGAAAATCAAATTGAAAGATGAACAAGGAGAGAGAGAGAGAGAGAGAGAGAGAGAACAAATTAAAGAAAAGTGAGAATAGGCATGTACTCAGAGGTTAAAGCTGGTAGCATATGCTTCATCTTCATTTCTGGAATTCATCAGTTACAAGTCCGTTGGTTTCTGGGTCACTGGCTGCCAAAAGCAGTTTAGAGAGAGAGAGAGACAGAGACAGCGAGAGAGAGCATCAGCAACAGCAATGAACAATTGAGGGAATAGGGGGATGTGTAATCAGAGAACCTTTTTGTGGTGTGAGGAGGGGAGGCACGTGAGATGATCTGAAGCGTTCATCTTTTCAGCATAAAAGCATCAAATCAAATCAAGCGACTTTCTTTTAGATATAAATCAAGCCACTTTCACTTTGTTTAGGCCAAGTTTAGCCTGTGATAAAAAAAATTTAAAATGTCAAAAATTTATTTAAAATATTAAAAAGTTATAATTATTTATCAAAAGTACATTACATAATTTTTAATCTTAATTTTTTTCTACACATTAATTTATATAATTTTTTAATATATATTTTTTTTATAAAAAGTCAAAAATTTAACCTAAACAACCATATTTTTTTTCTCAACTTTTTAATTCAAAAAATTAAAAAATACATTTATTTAAGATATCCAAACAATTTCTTAATTTAACATTAGGATGGTGATGATGGGTGGAAGCTAGCGTCATCCCTTCAAGGCGTCAGTGGGGATTAAAAACACACAAAAGATTAAATAAATTAAAAATTAAAGTATTATATTTAAATTATAAATATTTTATTTTTCTTTTATAATAATTATAAAAATTTTAAAAAATAATGTCAAACGAATTTTTTAATCTCAAACATAAGAACAACATAGAACCTAATAATTAATGATTAGTTGAAGATAAAAATTCGTGATATCTGTAAGTAGGGATGGTAAATGAATCGATAAACAAACTCGGTTCGACTTATTAAGGGCTCGGCTTGGTTCAGTTCGTTTAGTAAACAAGGTCAGTTCGAGCTTGAATATTAGGCTCATTTAATAAACGAGTCAAGTCCGAATTCGAATAAGCTTGGTTCTTCAAACTCAGCTCGTTTATTTTTATTTAAGTTATATAATAAATATATTATTTATATCTTAAATAATATTAATTATTTTTTATTTAAATAATATTAAAAAAATTTACCGAGCCGAGTTGAGCTCGAACTCAATAAACGAACTCGATAAGCAAACGAGCCAAGCTCGAGCTCAATACGGCTCGGCTCATTTGCAACCCTACCCGCAAGCAGCTAATAATTTTTTGGGTAAGTTATTCTGACACCCCCTGAAGTTTCTATTTAATACAGATTCATCCTCACGTTTGAAAAATTATATTCTCTTTTTTGAGGTTTGTAATCTCATTATAAATTGTTCCATGAATTGCTGATGTCATGTCCTAAAAATTTTTAAATGACCATTTTGTCTTTTTTCCCACAATTTATTCTTTTTATTATCATGACTACATTCTATAATTTTCTGCCATTAAATTCTACCTGAACATATTCTTATTAAGTGATGATATAAAAACATAAATTTCATATAAAATTTTCAAACGCAATGATATAGTTTAATACTGATCTTTCACTTTGAAACAAAACACTTATAAACATGATTTATATTTATAAAAATATCACTATCACAATTCTTTTTTATGATATTTTTTGTTTAAATTTAATATATGAATAGAATTTTTCATTTTTATTTTCACCATCATTTTTCTTTCTCATCTATTCACCTACATTTATTACAGTATTACTGAATTTTTGTATTTTTATATTTTTTTTGTATTTAGTGAATTTTAAAAAAATCACAAAATATTATACTTCTTAAGTATATATAGATTAGGTGTATTTAAAAAATAAAAAAAATTACTTAAAATATTACAAAATTCAATACAAATAAAAAACACAAAAAATTAAAAATTAATTTTTTTGTATAAATTAAATTAAAGAAAATGATTGTTATTTTTTTTGAAATGACATAAATAAAATATTAACATTATTTTATTATTTTATATTTACACAAGTTAATGAATAAATATATCATTTTAATCTACCACGGAGATGTCAGTGTAATTTACCTAATTTTGCCCTAAAATGTGTGGTGTGGTGTGGTGTGGTGTGGAGCACCTAATTTTTCCACTAAACGGCTAGTGGTAGCACACGGTTTTACAGCTTGGGGGTGAGAGTTGGGATTCTACACGGGTGGCCCTGAAAAAATAGGAAAAATTACAATTTAATGGATTTTTCAAAATTAATTGTAGATTTATGAAAAAAAATTATAATTATAATTATTAATATTTATAAAATTTGTTACTAATTTATAATTATTTTTTCAAACTAATTTGATATATTTCCCTAAAAAAAAAAAAGTTTCCTTTTTTTAAGACTCGGATGCTTTCAAATGCACCCAAGAATTTTTTTTTTAATAGAACCCAAGAATGTTGATGGGTACCTCACACTTCATGAGTTTCTTTCTAATACTATTATTTTTAAATTAAATTGTTATAAAAGACTTGTCTTAATTTCATATAAACTCTTATTTCACTCTATATTCTTCTTAGCTATTGGGGGTGTTTGGGAACCCACTTTTGAGGTTAAAATAGCCTCAAACATTAAAAAAACTAAATAACCTCAAATACCCTAAATTAATGATTTATTTTAAAAAAATAAATAAATACAAATTGGCATGGGGCAGCCTACATTGTCACATTGATAGTGTAGGTTCAGCGTAGGCTCACAGTGTAGGCACATTTAGTAAATGACAATTTTGCCTTTTTAGATAAATTTTGAAAAAAGTGAGGTTAGGGACAATTTTTGTAATTTCAGCCTCAAATATCATTTCAAGCACATTTTTTAATACAACAACTCAAATAAAAATCTATCCTATCTTCCTAAACATAAAAACTAAAATACTCAAAAAATCAAAAAAATCTTTAAAATAATCACTTTCTAAACACCCACGTTATGTCCATACTTTTAACATTCGCTACCATCACCTCTGATAGCCATCCTAGCCTCTCCCCATTTCTATCTACCTACCATTTGTCCCTTCTACTCGTGACTTACTCTCATTCTCTCCCTTTCTCACTATATGTATATACTAGTAGGAGTAATGCTAGGGAGTTCGAAAATGAGCTCCCCCGAATCCCCCTAATTTTTTTTTTCTTTTTTTTCAGAAGCAGAGAAGGAGAAGAGAAGGAAGAAGGAGGAGGAGGAGGAGGAGTAGAAAGGGCCATAACCACAGGGGGAAGAGGAGGAGGAGGAGGAGGCGGAGGCGGGGCCGGAGTTGTAACGAGCTAACGGGCTGCGACGAGCTGACGATCGGCGATTGGAGCTGCTGCTGCGATGACGGCGGTCGGAGGCGGTCGGAGCTGCTGCTTCCCTCTCTTCTCTCCCTCTCCCTCTTTCTCTTCCTCTCCCTCCCTCTCCCTCTCCCTCTGTCTCAGACTCGTTGAAGAAGAAGAAGAAAAAAAAAAAAAAAGAAATGCCCAAAACGACGTCGTTTTGAGCATTTGGGAGATTAGGGGGGAGAAAATTCGAACGACGAAGCTTTATTGTGTTTGGGTTAAAATTTAATAAGGAGTGAATGAGAGAGGTAACTAGCACTGGGGAGAGAAACGGAAGAGCACTAAGGGAGTTAAGAACTTAAGGGTTATTTTTAAAAAGTGAGTTAATGTTCACTTCTCAATTTTTAACTTATTTCATCTCTCACAAAAAAAAAAATCAAAAGTTTAAAAAAAATTAAAAAGTTAATTTTTAACCATCTTCTTAAAACACCCATAAGTTAGAAGAAGCATTATTAATTATATTTTTTTATTCAAAAAAATCATGATCAATATTAAAATAATAATAATTTCGTGAGCTAAATTTAAACACAAAAAGTTAAATATTCATTATTAAATAGCAACAAATCAAAATTCTATAATAGTGTGGAATAGCTTGGTGCAAGATGGTGATGTTAGTTTGCAATTCTAGTACAAAAAATTATGAATCAAAATTCTTAATTTCAGAAAATAAAAACACATCGTTTATAATATAAATTATTATAAAATCTGTTTAATTTTTGTCTGACAGAAGAATATTAGAGAGGTGATATTATTTATAAATAATGTGTTTTGAATAGAAATGATTAAACAGACTTAAAATATACCATATGGCGTTGCTTACGTGATGCTCACAACATGATAAACCACAATTCACACTAAATGGGTCTGTCCATTACCACTTAACTATTTGAAAATAACGAGTTAATTATATCAAATCTATAAGTTTTCCCGCTACACTAGTAGTTAAGGCTACTACATAAACAATACTACATATTGCTCCCAAAATATCAAGTAACTATGTATTGTGAACAATACAAAAAAATTCTTAGCCAAAAAATATGTTAAAATAAAAGATAATACATTTTGCATATGAAAAATAACTAAGTAAAAAGTTCAAAAATTGAGAAGGGGCATGTGATCCCTAGGTCTTCTTTGGCTTCGTCCCGCTGTGTGTTCAAAACAACCAGGTCAGGGCTGGTCTAGGTGTGGGCTCAGTTCCAAACCTTCTTTGGACTTGACCATTAGATCGGGTGAGACTTTAGGGCTTGGGCTGGTTTGGGTTGGGGCTATCCCACATCGGATAGCCTTTGGGTGTGTATGTGTGGTGTTTATACAGTTTTATGGCCCTCACTTGGTCAACAATTGCCCAGTGTGAGTGGTTTGTAAGTCCCACTGTGTATTCAAAACGTTGGAATTAGTTGAGGTGCGGAAAAAAAAAAAATCAAATTTAAAAGTGGAGTGTTCAATAATTTGTGTGTGTGTGCGCGCGCATTTCTTTTGTCTCTATGACTTCACATTCATAAATTAATATTTTTACTCGTGTCTTTGGTTTTTTTACAGAAATAATTATGCTATAAACATAAAAATTAGATACATAAAAGAATATAAAATCTATATAAATGGATAAAATTTTATATTCTTTAAAAAAAATCTTGTCTATTTTTATTATTTGATTTTGTGACCAATTTATATATTCTTAAATTTATAATTCACACTCCATTCTGAACTAAGGGCATTTATTACATATCTATATAGATGGAAAATTCTAGAGACACAAAATTTGGGTCAAAAAATATACTCAGAAACCAAGTTTAACTAAAATTTGATAGTATATTGTGCGGTCTATTCATAGATTAAATCTCAACTATGCATTGATGATTCT